TTTTTTGTTTTTTAAGACGAATCGTTTGTGTTTAAATTGTTTATGTGGAAAAGGATTCTATAAATATTTTGAAAAACGAGAAAATTATTCACTTTATATATTTTCACCAGAAAATCGGTAAAATAAAATTGATTATTAATCGAAAAAACAAAATTCATCTTCTTCTCAATATTTTAGAATTCGTAAAGCATTGAAATATTTAATTTTAAAAAAATCTTTTGATTATTTAATATTATTTATAATTGCTCTTAATTGTATAACACTTGCAATGGAACGTCCGTCGATTCCACCAACAAGTGCTGTATGTTACAACTTTTTTTTTTTTCGTTAAACAAAAACAAAAATACACGTTGGTTTTAGGAACGACAATTTTTAAATATAACAAATATTATTTTTACAATAATATTTACAATTGAAATGATGATAAAAGTAATTGCAAGTGGATTTATATATGGAAAACATAGTTATTTACGTAGTGGATGGAATGTTATGGATGGTTTTCTTGTTATTATATCAATTATTGATCTTGCTACAATGCATCGAGGATCATTAACATCAAATCATTTTGAATCAGATGCAGCAACACGTATTTTTAGCATGTTAAGAGTTTTTCGTTTATTAAGAACATTAAGACCATTGAGAGGTTTAAAACAAAAATCTATAGAAGTTTTTATTTAAGATTTAATTATATATTTATATTTTTAGTTATTAGTCGAGCACCTGGTCTTAAACTTGTTGTACAAACATTACTTTCATCATTAAGACCTATTGGACATATTGTTGTTATATGTTGTACTTTTTTTATTATATTTGGTATTCTTGGTGTTCAGGTATTTATTATTATTATTAACTACTACCGTCAGACCGTGCATACTGCACACCTGTTTTCTCTTTTAACGTATCACCTCAAAACTTTAACCCTTTCACGCAGTAACACCTGTATAGACACTCCACATTGTACATATAGATACCCTACGGCCTCATATTTTTATACTTCATTAGCTTTCGGCCTTATAATCTTATATCCCCTTGTAGCTCTTGTAGCATTATCCTCTTATTGCCTTACTCTCTTCAGGACCTTTGGGTATCCTTATATAATAGTCCTTGAAAGACTATAGGATATCCTCATAGGACGACCTTTGAGGACCTCTAGGTATCTCCATAGGGTAGCCTTTGAGAAGCGATGGGTACCCCGATATAATATCCTTTGACGGTCTAAGGGTACCCCATATAATGCTTTTGGGATCCTCCTCCTTATAGCCTTATTTGACCTTTAACCTTTGACCCGGCACAGACAGACACACATTGAACATAATATATATAGATTGTTATACATCACTATCAGTTCGAGCTACACTATAAAAGAAAAAAATTGAATTAATTATTATTGAAAAATAGAAAATGAAATTTTTATTTATATGAGTATGAGAAAGTATTTTGTAGGGAAATGTAAGAGAACTAATCTGAGAGATTATATATATATATATCATTCTTCAGTTCGATATTTGCTTTAACTATTGTCAAATCAAAAAATCTGTATATTGATTTGGTAGAAACACGAATAGAAAAGATATTTTTTTAGAAATCTAAAAATCGATTTTATCTATCAATATGATTATGTGAATTTTGGCATTATTTTCAATAAATCAACATGAGAGCAATTTCGCCTTTCCGTAAGGAGTTAACATAAATCACTATTTCATATTCAGTCAATTCTAATATAGTCTTGTCGATATCATTTTTTTTTATTGAAAATTCATTTGATATTAAACGAAGGATAGACTTTAACCTATAATCAAAAGTAGAAAAAGATATGAATATAGATGCACTTTATTCGGGTATTTTATATCTTTAGTTACGTTTTATATCCGACGGATGGATGACTTACTTTATCATCAGACAAATTGATGAAATATTTTCCAGTTTTATCATAGAGAAAAAGTATCTTGGAGATAGATATATAAACTGATCACTTGATTCCCGACGTCGGCTGAATCTATTTGAAGTTTTATCCTCATATTGCCGTCGGTGGCTAAACATACACAAAGATTTGACAGCGATAGCTGAGATTTTTCGATAGTTTTTTTAAAAAATTTTCTTAGTTTCATAAAATTTCCAAATGAACAATGGCAGAAATTCGATAATAACATCCCGGAAAACTGATCCTGGATGTTGAAAAGCTACAATCGATTTTTATATTCCAACGATAGTTGTTCAACTTATCGGCTTTGAGCTCTACTTATAGATGTTGAAGATCTTTTTCGGTAGTTTTCATTGATACATTAAGATTTGTATATTATCTATTATTTAATAATTGATCTTCGGTATACCTAATTAAATAAGAGATTTATATATTCAATTGAATAGTTTCATTTTCTTATTGAATGATAAAAACTACTTAAAAGAATAAATTCTCTTATGTGTTTTGTTCTTTGTTAAGAATTTTTCGAATTGAAATCGATGTTTGTTTGTTTTTTTTGTTTGACTAGCTTTTCAAAGGTAAATTTTATTATTGTGAAGGTCGATTAGCTCGTGATGTAACAACGAAACAACAATGTGAGGAGTTGTCTGATCATCATTGGAAAAATCAACAATATAATTTTGATAATTTAGGTCAAGTATGTATTTAAATAAATATTTTTTTCAAAAAGAAAAAATGTTTTATATATATATAAATAAGGCATTATTAACATTATTTGTATTATCATCTCGAGATGGTTGGGTTCAAATAATGTATAATGGTATAGATGCTGTTGATGTTAATATGCAACCAATAAGAAATTATAATGAAGCTAAATTAATTTATTTCATAGCATTTTTATTACTTGTTGGTTTTTTTGTATTAAATATGTTTGTTGGTGTTGTTATTGAAAATTTTCATAAATGTCGTGCTGAACAAGAACGTGAAGAAAAAGCTCGACGTACAGCTAAACGTGCAAAAAAAATTGAACGTAAACGACGTCGTATGCGTCAAATACCATATTATGCACATTTTTCACCATGGAGAAGACGTTTACATAATATTTGTAATAGTAAATATTTTGATTTAATTATTGCTGCTGTTATTGGTCTTAATGTTGTTACTATGTCATTAGAATTTTATTTAATGCCACCGGTAGTTTGTTTGTTTTTTTTTTCTATATTAGATTTTTGTTTTATTTTATTATATTTAATAGGCATTTGATTTAGCTCTTGATTATTGTAATTATGTATTTACAACTGTTTTTATAATTGAATCAATATCAAAAATTATTGCTCTTGGACCATTACGTTATTTTAAAGACAAGTATTTTATTTCAAATAATTTTTAGTTTTTTTTTAATATATTTTATTTATTTAAGATGGAATCAACTTGATATAACAATTGTTATTTTATCAATTGCTGGAATTTTTTTAGAAAAAATCAATAGTGGACATATACTTCCTATTAATCCAACTCTTATACGTGTTATGAGAGTTCTAAGAATTGCACGAGGTTATTTAAATCATTTTATTTAGATTTTACCCTATTAAATATTCATATAACTAGTTAACTAACTTATCGACATTTTTTTATCTTATCAGAAAACCTTCCGAACTACTAAAAACCTTTTCAGTTCAAATTTCATCCACAAGTAGGAGATGTATAAACTAGAAAAGTCTTAAGATGATATAGACACAAGTTGCATTTTGGCTGAGATATAAATTTTTGAGTAGAATTTTCGTGTAAGAGCTCTTTTTTCTGCTAAAATCAAAGTTTCGAATGTTGCCCTGAAACTTTGTCCACATCGAGGCCTTAATCAGACTAGTTCGCCCACAATGTTCCAGAATCTTTGAACAAATCAACTCCGAAATATGAGTATATTAACGTAAAGACCCTTTTTTTAGAGATTTTGTGTTAGGCACGGATATTTTGAAAAACTCATATTTCGAAGATGATTTGTCTAAAGACTGTGAAACTTCGTGGACAAACTAGTCTGATTGTGGTCTCGATATTAGTAAAGTTTTAGGTGAAATTTCGAAACTTTGATTTAAATGGAAAAGTGTAATCCTACAGAAAAATTCTAGTAAAAAGTTGATATTTCAGTCAAATTGCAATTTGCGTTCATATCATCTTAGGACTTTTCTAGTTTTATGCATCTTCTACTTGTGAATGAAATTTGAACTGAAAAGCTTTTTAGGATGTGGAGAGATTCCATCGTTAGATAAATATTTATTCTACTATCTATTAAAGATAAACAAGAAAATATTTCATCTTTTCGAATGTTTTTATTCATATCAAATTCTATCTGATTAAATATCTTAAATTTTATATGATTTTCTCTAGGTGTTCATGTTTTTCGATAAAAGAATAGATTCGATATTAGAATTACATAACGAGAACATTTATAAGAGATTTTCAAAATAACCAATTCAAACAAAATTGTAAAAGATATTTCACAACTAAACAGAATATTATACTAACGAGGAAAGTACCCGAAGTGTTCCCACAATTCGAGCTCAATGTCAATAGCCAAAGCCTAAAAGAATTCGTACCCATGGCCTGTTGAAGCCGACTTATGATCATTTCACTGGATTTTCGATTTCAGGCAAGATAGTCATGGAAAAACCGAACGATGGTATTCTTTTGGTTGAAATTTTTAGGACATTCTAATAGCCATGAGATCTCTTTATGGTCAAAATAGCATCGTTCGGTTGTTCGATGAATGGCTTATCTGAAGTTGAAAATCAAGTAAAATGGTCATAATATGAGTTCGAAGTCTAGAGAACACTTCGGATACTTCTCTCGTTAGTTATTTTATGTGTTTAACATTGTTATGGATAAATGAAGTTAGAACTCTATAGAAATCATCCCCTCAAACAGTAGAACTATTTTCGATAATTATAAAAATCTTCTAACAATGATCGAAGCTCGGTCTGCAATTTGTAAAACTTGAGTTAAGTTAAGAGAAAAATCATCGATAGTTGCAATAAAATATTTATAATTCAATCTATTGAAATTTTTCATAAGCTTCTTATCAATCTATGATTAAAGAATTTTCATTGAAATGAATTTCTGATGTGTTGAAAATTCCTGAAAACAAATATTCTTTTTTTGTTCGAAAATGTGAAGATATCTAAATGAAAAACGAAATAAATTGGTTTTTTTCGATCGATCGATAAAATTTGTAATTTGAATTAATTAATTTTAGTACTTAAATTATTAAAAATGGCAAAAGGTATTCGAGCTTTATTGGATACGGTTATTCAAGCTCTTCCACAAGTTGGAAACTTGGTAAATAAATTAATATTATTTATTTTAATAATAAAAAAACAAATTAACTTTTTTTTTTCTTCAAAGGGCCTTTTATTTTTTCTTCTTTTCTTTATATTTGCTGCACTTGGTGTTGAATTATTTGGAAAATTAGAATGTAGTGAAGAACGTCCATGTACTGGACTTGATAAACATGCACATTTTAAAGATTTTGGTATGGCTTTTTTAACATTATTTCGTATTGCAACTGGTGATAATTGGAATGGAATTATGAAAGTTTGTTTTTATTTTTAGTTTTTTTTTTTTATAAAATAAAAGATATTTTATTTAATAAAAGGATGCATTACGTCAAGATGATTCACCACATGGAAGAAAAAATCAATTTATGACAGCATTAGCACCGATTTATTTTGTTATTTTTGTTCTTATGGCACAATTTGTTCTTGTTAATGTTGTTGTTGCTGTTTTAATGAAAAAACTTGATGTAAGTTTTTTTTTAAAAAAGTCTCTTTTTTTTAAATTAAATATCTTATTTTAATTAGGAATCGAATCAAATGATGTCTGATGATACAGAAATGGATGAAGAAATTGAACGACAATTAGAAGCTGATGCACAGGATCGAGATTATCTTGAACAACCATTAATTGATGATAAAGAGTTTCATGTATTTTTATTATCAATTCTTCTTTCTTTTTTTCTCTTAAATTTCTCGTTTTTTTTTAATTTTAGTTTCTAAATGATAATAATATTAGTTATTTTCCATTAACAAAACAATTATCTTTACCAGCAAATTTTACATTTCATTCAATGGATTCAATAACAGAACGTTCCGAAAAAGGTTTGTTTCCATTATGTTATACCAACTGATATCAATCCATCAGTCTTATTTAACTTTTTTTTTGTAATTTCTTCCAATTCTAATTATGGCTTCTCGCATCTTACTCCAATTCGATCTCTACAGATTCTATAGAAATCCGTCTCAAGGATATCGGCAGTTTTTCAAAGTAGAACGATCATAGATTAAATAGGTACCGGTCTGGATTTTGGATCGACTCGTCCTAACGGTCAACCGGTCTATACTAGTCTAAATTTCTCACTTTTCTGATGTATGATTGTATCCATATAAAAAACAATAAATGAAACCAACCCTAATATTGCTGATCACGCAACAATTAGTTTAACAAATAGTTTATAGAACGGTATCAATGAAATTATTCTGGTCAATAGTGAGGCATTATGCCAGTATGCAGCAAGTTACTAATTTACTTATGGTATAGCAAAAGTTCTGGCTATGACGTTTAAAGGATCTTTTCGGATAAGATTACCTATTGAGAAATGAAAAAGCAAATATCCGATGTTGTAGAGTTTTTTAAGGCGCATCGAATCGTACATAGGAAATCTTGTTTTCATAGGGCTCTAAAGGAACTTGAGTCAATTTACTGATAGATCATCATATATCCACACTGATACGATGATCAGAGATGATACATATAGGAGGTTGTAGTCCGTCAAAAACTCTACAAAATCTTATAGGAGGAAAAAATATTTTCGACTGATACTAACGGGCACAATATTCAGAAAATGATCATGTTTGGCTATGTATGTGTACTTGTCTATCAGTAAATTGAGTCTAGTTCGTTTAAAGTCTAATGAAAACAGGACTTCCTATATACTATTCAACGCACCTCCAAAAGCTTTTTTATTCTTCAATAGATTACCTCATTCGAAAAGAGCCTTTGAACGCTGTGGCCAGAACTTTTCCTATGTCCTAAGTAACTCAAAACAGTTTATTATGGAGCGAGATTTCATTTTAAGACTCGGTCTGTCCCCTGTAGACCGGCATTGAATGATGGACTAATAGTATCACTAGTATCTCGTTTATTACCGGTATACCGATCTGTCCGGTCTAAGGAATTCGGACCGATACCGATTCCATCTATGGAAACGATCTATAAATTTGTCAGACAGTCAAAGGTAGTGTATCTGAGTGAAAGTGACTAAGAAAAAATACCTTTTCAAACAATAGATTGAAATTTTCGCAGACATGACGTCAAAAGTCCAGCGGTTAGCGCATCTCAGGTCCTCATAGTTCACCTCTGCTTGGGCGGATGAGCCTTGTGCGTTAGCGGTCGCATGTCTGTCTCTGTATGTATATGTCAGTTCGCTAACAGAGTTATTGACAAGCAGTGAGATTATCAATAATTTCCATGGCGATAGACACAATAGATGAGGTTGAAGTTTCGAGTTGACTTTTTTGCTTTTTAATAGATTCGAATGCAAGGATTAGAATAGTTTTCTATATAAGGAATCGGAATATGATTTTTGATAATATTTAACTATTCGATTGATTTTGATGAGTCTGTGAGCAAGATAATTTAAAGTATCGTTTCTAAAATGAAATAAACTGATGATTCGAAATAGTTTATCATTATAACTCTTATCTGAAATCATAATAATGTTTTCTACTGTTTAGTTTTTTTAAAATTTGAATTCAATATCTGTTTACATTATTTTATTTCACATTGATAATACTTTAGAAAAAATTTGACTATACAAAATTGAGATAGTTTGTTTATCAATGTTATCGTATCTATAATTAATATTGATGTTTACTATTTTTTATTTTTCCAAGGTAAACCAATTGAACAAGTGGATAATTGTTCATTATTATCAGTGATAAGTTCAAAATCAGATATTCTAAAATCAAAATTTGATGAAAAAATTCTTTTAAATAAGAATGAAGAAAATTTATCATTAAATACAGAAAAAAGTGGTGAAAATGAAAATAGACGAAGAAGATATGTTAATCATCATCGTTCAAATACAGTTCCTAGACGTAATCGAAAAATAAAAATAAAATCATTAATAAATAATCAAGATGAAAATAATAAATCAAATAGAAATCAATCATTTTCAATATCATTATTACAAATTCAATCAAAACAACGTCGACCTTTTATTAATCATCATTGAAATTTATTAAAATAAATAAATAATTCCGTCCAAAATCAAATTCACCTGAGAGACAATGATTTATCTTAGATATATTAATCTTTATTTAAAACAATAAATCTAACGTCTACAATTATTTATATAAAAACTTAATCCTTTTCTTTTTCTTTTTTGTCTCAATATTGTATCTACCGGTCGACGCATATTTTTCTCTGTGTGTTCCTATTCATTGTGTGTCAATTGCATATCAATCTTCTTTTGTTTTAATAGAAAAGAAAAATATTTCGATTTTTTTTCTTTTTTTGCAAAAAAATGTTTTCACACATCGATAAAAGATCTAATTATTAAGAAGTTTATTCATATAGAAACAAACTATATTGATTATCATTATCAAATAAAACTATTCGATATATAATAATAAATTAATTCTTATATTATTAAACAAGATTTTTATCTTTAAATATATTATTTATTTAAGAATATTATCATTCTAATCATCTTCTACATTTCAATTTATCTTACATTCAATCAAACAATATATCATTACTGACATATTATTTTATCTATTTTAGTTTATCACATTAAATTCTTAGTGGTGGATTTGAAATTTTTATGATGAGGAACGATTATAATTCCAAAACCTACTTATAAGATAGTAGTATCACTTCATTATTAAATTATTCTTGCTAGAAATAAACTGAAAACTTCTTTTTGGAATGAGAGTGATCGACTCACTGCTTCATCACACAGAATAATATCTGATGATGAAATCTTCCAAACTATCACTCAGCAATCGAACTGATATTGTGCTCCTAAAGTAGGCCTTGTTGAGACTAGTTAAACTTTTCAAGGGCTCACTCCTATGCGCTACTTCTTTTTACAAATGAGTATAGATTATCTTCGTGTTTTTTTTAATTGTTTTCCACTATGAAAATGGAAAAAAAGGTCCAGAAATTGAAAAATAAGTTCACCGAAGTACAAGTGATCAATGGCTACGTTCCAACATTCTTCGAAAAATTTTACGAAGAATGTCTAAAAACTTCAAAACTACTATTTGAACCGTCAAGCAGAGTGTTCAATGATGATTTAGGCAAAAAAATCTTATCCAAAACTAAACGTTGAAAAGTTAAAAGAAGATCAAAGACCAATAAGAAAAATATATTGTCAATGGATTAGAAAAAATATCAACTGTCATTCATTGAAAAGAATCATCTTCATTGATGACAAAAAAAAAACGGTCACTTTAATCCAAAAAACGACGTGGTTTCGGCTGATAACCGATCTGATGGCGATGAACTATATGAAATCGAAAAATATCCAGTGTGCATTCTGGCATACTCTTACATCTCCATATGTTTTTTTCAAAATCTCATATCAATCAAAAAACTCAAGAATGGTGCAAAAAGAACTTTAAATTCTCTAGAACTTAATCCATGAGATTATTCTATCTAAAATAGCATCTCAAACCATGTCAAGTATCATTAAGTTAAAACAATCAATGGTTTGATGTCAACAAATTGATATAATTTATCAACGAGAAGTTATTTTTGCATTTCCTTCAAAGAGTCTATTCAGTGAAAAAAACATGATGGTGAACTGATTATAGATCAATCTAGTTCTACTTTATTCTAGCTTTTAAAACATATTATTATTATTATTTCTCTTTTGCTCTTAAAAATAAAATCATTTTTCTCAAATGTCACATCCGGTATATTTTCGATAGTAAAGAATAATTATTTTCCTTTGTTTGTTTATCAACATATAAATTATATTTGACAGTGTTTTATGGCATGAAACGAAATTAAAATTAATCATTATCATATATATTAGATAATTTATCATTTAAAATGGACTCAAATAGTTTAAGAGACTTTTATTTTTCAACTTTTTCAGTGAACATTCATAGCTAACTCAAATCGAAATAGTGCTTTCAATAAATCTTGAAATTCTCTATCGAATATTCATAATCATCATTGATTTCAGCATAAGGTAATAGACTCTACTATTATAGATTACATTTCGTACATATTATCGATCGTGTCACTTCATCTACTCATTCAGATAATTTTCCAAAATATATAAGTATTCGACTAAATTCTTATTCAGTATCATTGGATTTCTCCTTCGGTTTATTGTTTGATGATGTGAACGATTTGTATTTAAGTGATGTTGACGAAGGGAAAAGATAAGAACATAAATATCTTTTTCTGTAGCTCTTAGTAATAAATAGAAACATAAGAAGTACATTTTAGGTGAAGTATCTGTCTGTTTGTTGTTAAAATGGAAGTGGAAGATAAACAATGCTTTTCGTGAGAATTGTAATGAACTGAAAGTTCCGTTTGACAAAATACACAGTGAACTTGATTCCAAACTGAAGGAATGCAATAAATGCATTGCAGAAACCGAAAAACTTTCCGAAATAAATAACACCTTAGAAAAAAAACATACGTTAATACATCAAATGAAGAAAAAGAATAGAAAGATGTCAAGACTAAATTGGCAAAAACCATCGCTTTACAAAAGGTCAAACTCAACGTTAGTGGTGATAGGTACACAACAAGTATTGATACTAGAAACCTGCGGAACAGTCCAGAATCCCGAAAAACCTCGTTTTCCCCGTCCCGCGAGACAATTGGGATTGTCCTGAAAAGTTTTCGAGACGGGACATTCGGGATCGAGCGGTGTCCAAGGACTGAGGAATAGGAATTCCTACTCAGTTCCCTGACATTTCCTTGAATGCTAAAATTAAAAAAATACAATATCCACGTACTTATTACTCTTACATTCGTTTTCATCAAGAAATTTGTGCACATGAACGTATGAGCACGAAAATTATTGCAAAAAAAAGCATTATCTTGACTTTTATGAATGAGGGAACTGTGATGGAAATAATGGTCAATTCTCATTTCCCCAAGGAATTATCATAGCTACACTGGCAATTCCTCTACTAATTAGGAATTCCTATTTCTCAATCCTTGGACACTGCTGAAAATAGTGGATTTTTTGTATATCAGAAATAGTTTTTGAGTATTTTTAATATTGAAACCAACTCGAAACTAAATGAATTATATACCAGTTTGTAGCCCTTGCTTCGCTGTATCGAATGGTATATAAACGAAATCGGCTCGCATGGAAAAAAAATTCAAACAGATCGAAATCATGTTAGATAGTATGCAATAAAATCATATTCAATAGGATACCCAATAGAAGAGTGGTATTATTGATGGCATCGATAGCTCATAAAACAATAATAGTTTTTATATGAAACGATGCAGAATTAAATGCTCTTTCTAATGAAGATAAATTGAGCTTTCAATGTTTTCAATAGCTTGTCTATTTTGATCGAATATTGAATTACTATGATTACACTTAACTCACATCAAAGACGCAAAAAAGACTGAAAATGACCTATATGATATTTTACAACATTTTCGCTTGAAAAAAGGGCTCAACATGCATATTCTTACTTGGATATACTTTAATAAAATGAGCCTTACCTTTATAAAAGAAATTGCCAATCAAATATCAATAAACCCCTAGTAGCCCATTTTCTATAGCTTATACGCACCCGTCCTTTAATAAAAACGAATTCCATGGAAAGATAAATTAAAAATTATTTTACCAAAAAATATTTCGTTAATACGTAATGATCATATCGAAGTACATTCATTTTCAGAATAAGTAGCTCGTAAATCAGCTATAACGTCTTCAAAAATATTAAATTTTAAATTTCGATGACATTGAGTTTTTCATTAAATTTTTTCATAAATGTCCAAATGAAAAATTAAATTTCAAAACTTTACGATAGATGTTCAATACAATAGTAGTCTAGAACAAAAAGAAAAGAATCATACAGAATGGTTTTAGTCTAAATAATTAATTTAAAAGAAATATTTTTGATATCGAAAAGGCATAACTCAAAAAGTTAGTTTAAGTAAAAAGAATAGAAACAAAAAATCCTTGTAATGCAGAAAAACACTTTACTTGATGACTTATATTTAATACAGCAATAAAAAAATTGAAATGAGCAATAATCAAATTTAGCAATAAATATATTGAATCAGCAATAAATATATTGAATGAGCAATATATATATTGAATGAGCAATATGTATAATGAATGAGCAATAAATATAATGAATGATGAATAATTAGATGGAATGATCAATAATTAATTTAAGTAAAACATAAATGTACATAAAAAGGGCGATAATAATTCATTTGTCTACAATAATAAATGTTTTCTCAACTTTATGAAATACTATGTAATTTATACACATGGCTCAATCGCAAAGTGTAGCACACTATATTTCTGATTCTGAAAATGACATTGATATGGAAATTCAACCTTCTGGCAACACAGAAACAGTTAAAAGAAAAAAGCAAAACAGGCGAAAATGGATACCATTATGTACATATAATGATAAAGATGATATTATTAATAAAATCAAGAATGATGGTATATGGAGCAAAACACATACCAATATCACAAGCGAAGGAAAACGGGTTTATTATAGATGTAATCAAGTCAAATGGCGTGGAAAACAATGTCCAGCTGGTATTCATCTTTTATATCATAGTGAAAATGAATGTATTACAATGTACAAAACAGAAGATGATCATTTACATCAAGAATCAAGATCTATTGGCATAAACCAACAATCAAAAGAAGTAATATGCGAGTTATTCAAAATGAAAATCAAGCCAAAACACATGCTAGAATTATTAGAAGAGAAAGGTTTACCTGTTCCGAAAAAACAACAATTATCGAATTATTTAACATCATTAAGAGAAAAATGTTACGGTACTTCAACTATTAGCTTAGGTGAACTCGAAGCTTGGTGTCAACAAAATTCATTTATACCTGACGATGATGATAAGCCTTGGGTATTAAAATATCAGATTGAATATGAAGATGAAATTAATAATGACAACGATGATGATAATGTTAGTAATGATGATGATGATAAAAATAAATTTCGATTCTTTGTTACAACTAAAAGATTATTATTTAATGCAAGTATTTCAAATAAAATCCATGTTGATGCCATTTACAAGTTAATCTGGCAAGAGTTTCCTTGTTTTATTATTGGAACAACTGATATGATCAAACAATTTCATCCATATGGATTTGCTGTATGTTCTAATGAAAAAGAAAAAGACTTTGAATTCATATTTAGTTGTATTTGTGATGGCTTACGTAATTTAAATTTGCAGATGAATGAACAAGAATTAGTACTTATTGCAGATGGTGCTGAAGCTATTAGCAATGCATTTTCAAAAGTTTTTGGAACAGACCATAATATTGTTATGTGTTGGTTTCATATGCGGAAATGTGTAGAAAAAAAGTTAAATTTAGTCGAAGATAAAGCTTTACATAATGAAATTATGAATGATATTGAAACATTACAATTGTCAAAAAATAAAAAAACATTTAACATTGCTACAAGATTATTCTTAAAAAAATGGGAGAAGCAAGAAAGATGTATTCAATATCTCTCAAGTGAATGGTTAGAATCGAAAAATGGGTGGTATGAAGGCTTATCAATGTATGTTCCCAGCACAAATAATGCTTTAGAAGCAACAAATCGTATGATTAAAGATGAAGATACATTAAGGGAACGGTTAGTATTATCAAGATTTACAGTTGTTATATTTTCTATAGTCAATAAATGGTCCAAAGAACGAAATCCTACTCTTATCAATTCAAAAATATTCGAACATCAACCATCAATAACATTATCACATTGGACTGATGCATACAATTGGGTTAAACTTAACAAAGAAGTTATATCTATTTCCAATGATGATACAACAACATATTATTTGCCTGCTGGTGAAGAAATTACAATAACAGGTAAAGAAATAAAGCGTTATGAAACTTGTAAATTTAACTCGTTTGACATGTACAAGTCCGTCTACTTCAATATATGGTGTGTACGCTTATCTAACAATGCAGAAAAATGGAAAGAAGCAACTTGCACCTGCCCATCATTCTTGAAAAATTATATTTGTAAGCACATCATTGGTATGTCCATTAGATTAAAATATTGCAAACCTCCACCTGAGGCAAAAAATGTAGCAATTGGTACAAAAAGAAAAAGAGGCAGACCATCGAAAGCAAAAAAAGCTTTATTAGTACAATGATTAGTTATATATATTTCTTTTTTTTGTTTCTTGTCAATTGTAAATAAAATAATGTAGTTTTTCTCTTTTTTTGTTGCTCAAATATGAAATTAATGTTGTTATGTAATAAATTATTTATTGCTAATTTAATATTATAATATTGCTCAAATCAAGTTTTCTTATTGCTCAAAAGTTACTGCTAAATCGTATCTTAACTATTGCTGATTCCAATATTTTTATTGCTTGAATAAATACAAGCCTTACTTGATAACTTTACTTAGTTTCAAAAAATTTCATAAAATTCACTTGCACCAGTCATCACAAATGAGAAAGAAGAAATGAAAATTCTGCACAATAGCGATAGACAGACAAAGAATAAGACGTTTTAGTGTCTACTCATTCAATTGTCTAATATATAAGACACTTTAGTATTTATTACACCCACGCGTCTCAAAAAGAGACGTTTCTAGTGTCTAACTAATATCTAACATAGACTTTAGACGTGTGCATCGTCTTATAAGATGGATAGTATTTTTTTGAGGGTGCAATAATTAATGATGAAGCCATTTTTGCGATGTTTTCATAACGATCCTCCACGATCGTAAATTATCAAGTAGTGCCCTCTATAACTTATTTAAAAAGCGCCAGCCTAATATTTTATAGAAATATTGTTTATATCTTGTTGATTTTTAATATATATAAATCTTAATGAACGACCAGTTACACAAAAATCTTCACACAATTCATTCAGAAATAACCAGTAAAAGTAAAGGATAAGCGCCTTCATTCTATCAGTCCGTCAGCCGATCATATAGTATCAAAATGAACATTCCTTCTCTAAATCCGGATGTTGATTCAGTGGTACGAGTTTATGGTGGTCATATAAATGACTTAAATGGTTTGTTATTATTTCTTTAATAAATATTCTTTTAATTAAAATAATTTTTCTTTATAGATTTTTATTTATACTCGTCATGGAGCCACCACAAACTTCTTCGACTTGATCAACAACTTGCTGAAGTATATTCTCAATCATCAACGTATAAAATATATTTATCTCTTCTTAGAATAAATATAATTTCTTTTATTGATAATCATCTGTAACAGCTAGTGGCGGAGCCAGGGGGGGCTCAGCCCCCCCCCAGAAACTTTTGAGCCCCTTCCAGGAAAATTTTTAAACCATGTATTTTATTTGCTAACCGGGGCTCAAAGGTCCCTCAGAGGGGGTTGAGCCCTCCCCAGCTCAAAATCCTGGCTCCGCCACTAGTAACAGCAAGTGAAAAATTTAATGTTGGTGATTATTGTGCATATCCATCAGAAAATAAAGTTTGATATCGTGGATTAATACATGAACGAGATTCAGATGGTAATGCAATTGTATTTAAAATAGATTCTTCTTGTAAATAAAAAAAAAAAAAAAAAAAAAGATTATGGTGATGTACAACGTATACCTGGGTACTGTTCGGAAACCATGGATTAAGTTCAAGGGGGAAGGGGAAGTGGATCTCGGGATTCCGGGACCTTCTGGATTTTCTAGATCGCCATTGGATTGTCATCGTATCACAGATACAAGAATATCATGCAAATAGATAGGATACGACAGTGATACCGAGGATCCACGAATCTACTTTTTCTCTTGGATAAAAAGGGGAGCTGTGAAAAATACTGATCTTGGGTCCTCATACCTATTTTTTGGAGGTACCCTTGGATCCTCATGTCCTATTATATAGGGGCACCCTTAGGTCTATGCATACACCAGTTGCAGTAGATCGGGTATCCAGTCCGATTAGGTCCCCATCTACCTATCCCAGATGAGGATCTTGGGTCCTCAAGTCTCTCTCCTAAGGGATACCTTGGGTCCTCAGCAGCCTATTCTAGAAGATATCTTGGGTCCTTGGTCCGCTATCCTAGGGAGTACCTTGGGTCCTCACTCCATATTCTGGGGAGACTCTTGGATCCTCAAGTCTCTGTCAGATGAGGCACCTTGGATTCTTAGTTTTCTATGCCAGGGGAAGTGCTTTGGTCCTTATGTAGCTACCTCATGGGAGGTACGTGAGTTGTGTTTGTAATTGGCTCGGACTCATCGTACATAATGCACGTTCAGCTTGGCGTAATCGGTGTGTCCGATTTTGCTTCAGGCAGGAAAGATCTGAGCTGAGAAATTTTGTGCGATGTCCAAAAGTCGTCGATAGTTTTGTTTCATTCGAAAATATTGGTATTAAACCTTCGTTTGTACATTGGAAAGCTTTCGCCAGGCATCTTCTGCTATGTTTTGTTTGATTTTAGAAACATATTGGGACAGGAGTGAATTTGTTGGACACTGAACCATTTAATAAGGGTCATCCGTCAGAATTATGCTTTTGGAAGGAAAGTTTATAGTGAGGATAATCAGAAACATTCTGTATAACATAGAGATTTATATATATTGAATAGACGATGATCAATATAGAAAGGTTTTTTAGTAAACGAAAGAGAATGATGAATAGGAGAAATCTTTATTTATTTAATCGCATCGAATAATCAACAATCAGAGTAAGGCATCATCGCGATCACATTTATCATTATTATGAGCATAGATTATATAACTCTTCTAATGTAGCCTTCAGTAAATTTGAAAAGTTTCTATGATTATCAGCTAAATTCTAATAAAGAGATAAAAATCTCTTGCTTTTTATTTGTTTACTCTGAAACTTGTCAGACGAAAAGATCAAATATAATATAATGGCATAATTGTTGTACGTTAATGTTCGATATTTATTTCTTATTGAAAACTAACATATGCTGCAAATAGTAATGACAAAAAAATGTCGAGCTCTATTTTTCTTCGATGAAAAGGGTGCTGAAAGAAAACATTTTTTTTACCAAACGAAAAAGCTTTTTCTTCTTTTTCGAATCGTATATAATTTATTTTTATAAGATGTTCATAAACGAAACAGTGCAAGAGAAGCACCCTTAGAAAAAATTTGCACTTGTTAGGATCGACATTGTGCACGGTTCTTTTATAGAAAAAGTGTAGATTTTTCTAATGGTGCTTCTTTTTTCTCTTATAGCATTTGATTTATGAAGGTCTTATAAAAATAAGTAACATACGATTCGAAACGAGGAGAAACAGGGATCAACATTCTCTGCCATTAGTTATCTGTTTAAAGTTCGAAGAAAAAATTAATTCTAGTTAGTTAATTATTGTCGTTGATTGATATTTTATTTTTCAGTTGTCAATACAAAATAAAGACACAAATCAATCGCCAAATTTATCATCTAAATCAATCTAGTTGAGATCTTTATGTTGGTTATATTTCAAGTCAAATATCGAATAGATCAGTTTGCTGTAAAAACAAACCTCTCAAACAAATATATATATATACGGAAAATTGGATAATTTATCGTGAACAAACTATAAGTACGATGTTGTACATAGTCTCGAATAAAATTCTTCTTAGTACACGGATTCAAATTTGATAGACACGATTGAAGGTCGTCTATCTAGCAGAAAATAACTAAGAAAAGGTACCCTTCTTAAACTGACCAAAAAGTTTTGTGACAAGAGTTTGATATTTTCCGAGACAGGGCATGAAAAGTGGAAAAAGAGTCTTGATAAGAGAGAAAAAGCTGATTCCATAATTCCATTGATCCTGAAACAAGATCAAAAAGTTGCTTCCAGGCCTTTCAAATCACTGGAATCACTCAGGGATGCACTAGCCCTGTCGGTCTGGGTACCCAGGAGATTGAGTTAGAGCTTATTCGATAAACAATATTTATTTTTTGACTAAAGGTTTTCGGAATCAAGGAATCAGAATCTGCCATCAGTTTCTTAAAATTTTGAGTTTGACTTTTTTTTTTTACTAAAAAACCTTTTTTAGAAAAAAAATATTTCTCTGGAAAATATTCTTTTAGTAAAAAAAAGTCGAACCGAACATTTTAAGAAACTGATTGCAGATTCGGATTCCTTGATTTGGAAAACCTTTAGTTAAACAATAAATAGTGTTTATCGAATCTCCTGTCTACCAGTCGAAACTAGAACTGTTGCATGCCTAGAACCACATGAAATTAGATATACATCAATTCCATGTCATTCCGAAGATCCTGGAATCAGCTTTTTCCCCTTGGGATCTTAGCCATCCGAGCTTTTTCCATATGGAGATATATAACTATCAAAAGAAAGACAAATAGACATGTCCAAATGTTTACTCGTCAGTCAATTGAAATAGTTATAATAAGATAAGGGTGAAAAGTTCTCAGAAATATTTCTATCTATAGACTCACAGCTGGTCAGCCTTAAGTCAAACAAAAATTCTGGAAATACATTTCGAAAGAGCATCAAATTCTGATCGTAATTGACTAGTTTTTATTCTCCTCAGTGGCATCTAAGTGTCCAAAAACTGAGCAAAACATGTACGAAGACCTGTTAACTGAGCATTTTCTAGAAACGTCATTTCCGATCCCTTGAAGGATTTGCGCTTAATGAACCAACCATAAGTCAGAAAAAAATTCTAAACATACATGTAGAAAGAAGATGAAATGCTCGTTTCGGCTAACTACTTTTGATTTACTCTAGTGAGTTACACGTGCGAAAATTGATTAAACCTGTACTGTTAAGACTTTTACAACAAGAGTAAAAAAGGTTTCTCTCACATTTATACCACTCTTATTAATTTAAACTGGAACTTTTATTTTTACAGAATAAGTATACCTTGAAATATTATTGAAAATGAATATTTACTTGTTGAAATAACTTAAGTAATTGCAGAGATATATCGATTACAAAAGTTCTGAGAATTTATCTCCCTTATATTTGGTAGAAAATGAATTTATTTGTCTAGTAGAACTAAAAGATATTTCTAATAGTAAAGAACAAATGATATTGTCCTAAATTATCTTTTACAAAAAAAGCTCAACTATTACAAAGATGCTTCCTAAGACGAAACAAGAAAAGATTGAATTCTATTAATGATCATACTACAGTCAATACCAATAAACATATACAAAAAAAGAAAAGAAAAGAAAAGAAAAGAAAAATATACAAAGATAAAGAGAGAAGAAGTAAAACAAGATATAATAATGATTGATATTATATTTCATGTAAATTCAACATGACTTTCCCAAAAAGCAATAACAGCTTGTGGATATTTTCTATTAGCAATTTTTGCTGATATCCATTGTGTATCATTTTGTCCAATTAATTTAATTCTAAATGATATTCCATCTTGATCATTTTTAACACCTTCAATTTTTTCAATTGTTTCTTCATCATCATTATTTATAATATCTTGTTGTTCTTGTTCTTGTTCATTATTTATAATAATTGATTTATCATTTGTATTATTATTATTATCACTATCATTAAGTGTTAATGATATTGATGATGCTGAACTTGGTGTTATACGAAGACGAAGATTAACAGGTGGTTCATTTGATTGTTCATTTAATAGATTTTCTTTTATTGGTGAAGATTTATTTAATAATTCAATACTATTATTATTATCTTCACTAGTTATTGTTTCATTATTCGAATTCTTGTTTTCTTCATTTACATCACCATTCATACTTTCACTTTTAGCTATACAAATAAAAATAAATATTCAATAGAATTATCATTAAAAAAAAACAAAATCTTCTTACAAATAGATCTAATAGGAGATTTGTTTGATGTATCATTACCATTTGATAAAATTGATGCAGGACTATGATATGTAACATCTACTTGAGAATGATCATCATCATTTTCATTTGAATAAATATCTTTATCTTTATTAATTGATGAATTTTCATCGATTTCATCATCTTCAAATGATTCATCTAATTTTGCTTTTTTGTTTGATTTAGTTTTTGATTTTGGTTCACTTTTTCGTATTGATTTTCTTTCATTTGTTTTCTTTTTTAAATTTTCTTCAAATTCTTTTACTAATTCTGGACAATTTAAATTATTTTTATCTTCCCACTAAAATATTAAAATAATATTTATTTATTTCATTATTTTTAATTTATATCAATTACAAACACTTTTTTTTTAACTTCTTCATCGAAGATTCATAGCTAGATCAAATCGAAATAGCGCTTTGAATAGATCTTCAAATTCTCTATCGAATAGAATATATATCAAATTT